TGCAAAGATGTAAACACGTGAGGGTGGGACTTGAGCCTGGAGAATTACATGTTAGGGAAGAGAAGACAGATCTGAGAAGTGTTTCAGAGTCAGGCTAGGCTGGGCATGGTGGCTGGTGGCATAGGAAGGTTGCAAGAGGAAGAGTGTTATAGATAATGGCAGATTTCTGAACCTGGGGTCTGAGGTTGAGGGTGACAGGGAACGAGGATGGACCAGGAAGAAAAGACATCTTTAACCATGGGTTTTCAATGGTGGTGGGTATGACCACAGGTTATATCATGGGAAAGGTCAAGGCTAGAGACATAGAGACATGCATCTCAGAATTGGAAGGCAGTACATCTGATCCAGCTTCCAGCCCAGTGCTGGAATTCCATGGATGTAACCTTAAATGCTGGTTATCAAGGATTTCTAGAAGTCTTCCAGGGAGCTCCAATCTCCAAGGTAGGGAGAACTTTTATTAGGTGGTTCCTCTAAGTAGACAAGTTTTCTGATAGATCAAGACTTAGCAGGCAGTGGAAAGGGGGCGAGGATGGAAGCCAGACTTACTGTGTGGCATTTGACTAGCCATGTAACCTCTCTGAGCCTCTATCATACTGTCTACAAAATAATAGGGTGATGCTAGGGAATTTGCCATAGTTTCAATTTGTTCTGATTCAGAGTGGTGAAAGTTGTAATCATAAGAATGAATGAATGGATGGAGTCTCTGGAGAAGGGCAGAGCCCAGGGCCTAGTGGTGGAGGTGGGGAGGTGTGTGTGTGTGGGGGGGCAGTGTTAATTAGGAGGGAGAGATCCAGAAAAGGAGGAGGCATCTCTATTAGCCAGAGAGAGCCCATAAACTAGGAGAACAGTGTCAAGGCACCAGCTTGCTAGCCAAGAGAGAGAACGATTCTTGCCTTACTGAATTTCTGGAAGTGGGAGGGAATCTCTGGAATGGATACGGGCTCAGGAAGAGGCTACAACTCCAGGTGAGATTTAGAAGCCAGCAAAAGTTTGATTGAGAAGGGAGGAGGTGAGTGAGCATTGGTTTATTAATGTAAAATCTTGAGCTTCATCCAGTGACATTTGTATGGGCATAATTCATAAAAGCTAGAATGAGTTTCAGATAAGCATAGGAGCAGAAAGTGTGATAAGTGAGTACTCTCTTGGTTGCGTTAATAGAGGTACATAGCCCAGCCTGAGGGAGGTGATGCTCTTGTTACAACCATGCCTGTGCTTGGTTTTAGTTGGATTGCTTTAAAAAGGACAGGGACAGGTTGAACCTGCACAAGGGGTGTGATGAAAGGACTGAGTGACATTTACCTTGGGGGGGGGGCGGGGGTGTGAGGGGAAAGAAGATTTTGGGGGAGTAGTGAGAGCTGCCTTTTAAGCATCTGAGGGGGAGACAGAGCACCCGAAAACATGCCCCTCCCTGTCCTTTCTACATCTATTGCAGATAGAGCTGTTTCCGAAGGGTGCTTTGTACTTCAGGGTTCATTTTCCTCGCTTCCCCTTCGTGAACCACCTCTGCTTCTGCCATCCTCCGGGTCACCTGCAACAAGAAGTGTGGTCATCTTGGGGCTGGGCCTTGGGGGAGTTGGTGTAACAGGCTTACGGGGAGAAGATTAAAGAAGAAAGCAAAGGGGCATTCCTGTCTTCAGATGGGTGACCTTTATTGTCTCTTCTGTGTCATCAGCTCTCTGGAATCATTGGCTGGACATTCTTGTCATGTGTTACTTTCTAATCCACCACAAAATCATACAACCATTAGAAAAAAAAAGTTGGCCCAAACTTTTAACAGAAAATTTTATTTACAGAAATTTATCTGTATATTATCTAAATTATCTCACATATTGTGGACTTTGAAGTTTCCTGCATTAAGGAAAGTCATTGCTAGGAGATGGGCATCCTAGTTTCTGTGCTGGGACCTGGGTTGGATTTGGGGCTGGGAATAGGGGGAGGGAAAATGCAGAAAGGTTTGGAAGAGTCTCAGCCCACTCTGCTTTTTCCCTGCTCAGGCTGGGTAAGGATTCCAGGTACCTTGTCCCAACTCACCTCACTCAGAAGCTCCAGGATGGGCCCTTTCCTCTCTGTGAACACATCAACCAGGGTCTGGATGAAGCAGGAGCCTTCTTGGTCATGTCTGTAGGAAAGGTACCCTGGGGATTGCAGAGAAGTGGGCTCAGGAAAACTCCAATGGAGGTGGGACGGTGGGGGTTTGTGTGGTGCAAGAGGGCCCGGAAGAGGGTGGATCCTGGAGGAGTGTCTCAGGGGCCAGGAGCAGTGGGCAGAGTGGGGCAGCAGAGGCCACTTGAGTCAGTTGGGAGCTCATACCCTCCACTGTGGAGTATATGTGGAGGGTGTCCGTATACGTTGGGATGGTTTGGGGACTGTCTTTTGTGATCATCTCAATGTTGCCTCCACCTACTGTTTCACCAGGGTCCTCTTGTTCTGAAACACCAAGAAGAGGAAAAGTCAAAGTCAGAGAGAAAGATGGGGGAAAGGAGAAGGTCATAAGATAAATTAGCAACACAGGACAGCTGGGGCTCTAGATCTGGGATAGGACTGGATCAGGAACACAAACTCTGTGTTCTTGGCTCTGTCCCCACCTCCTCGACAGGCCTGCACGATGTACACCTTCGGCTTGGCTCTCAGGGCCGGGCAATTCTTATTATTTAGAACCTCGAAGAGGTTCTCCAGCTCGACCATCTGCTTGTCTTCTCCTTCGAGCTGACCTTCTAGCCCATGTGCCATGAGCACCACGAAAGCGCAGCTGACGAAGTCTTTCCGGGCATCAATGGCCTGCTGGAATTTTTCCAGTTCTTCCTGGAATTGCTAGAGCAAGAGGAATGGCCAGACTCAGGTGTATCCCTGGAGCCCGCCTTCTGGTCCAGCCCATCCTCCGTTGGCTAGGACCGGCTTCACAATACCTGAGCAGTGGGGTCTCTCTTTATGGTACTCTCAAATCCCAGCTGCTGGAACATGCGTTCCAGGGCGACCAGGTCCGCCTCTGAACCTTCCCGGGCTTTGGTGACACACAGCGTCAGGGCTACGCGGGCACCTGACATGTCATAGGCCTCCTGAGTCAAGAGATGACAGAAATCATCAAAGGGGTAGAGAGGTCAAGGAGAAGCAGGAGAGGTGGTCCAAAGAGGGGTTAGGGTAAAATACCGGGTGCCCAGTTACACTCACATTTCAGATTAATAAAAAAATGAGATTTTTTAGTGTAAGTAAGTGGAAACTTGGTTCTCAAACTTAATTCGTTTCAGAAGGCTGAGGAGCAATTTGTTTGAAAGCTGAATCATCTTTTACCATTAGAAAATATTCATAGCACAATTTCCTGTGGAGTTAACAACGCGAGGTTCAGTGGTAAACTGACTAAAAATCCCGAAATCTCTCCTTTGTTTGTCGCCTGAGCTATGCATGACTGATCATACAGGTATCAGCATGAAAGGGTTGTCTGGTCAGGAACTGAAGTTTTGTTTGACAACCGAGACACATTTTTCCTGTGAACAACTTGTTTAAGAAACAAATTGTTCAAGATGGGAGATGTTTGAGAACCGAAGTGTGACTGTGTGTCCCAAATATTGCATGGGATATACTTATAAGATTATTTGTTATTGATGTGAGATTCTAATTTGACTGGGCATTCTTTTTTTTTTTAAAAAAATTAAATTTATTAAGTAACATCTATAATAATAAAAGAGTAATATGCTAATTAGACCAGACAGCCAAACGACCTTCTGGACATAGCCAGGGCTGCAAGGGCTGAGCCCATTGCATGAATTTTGTGCATCACGCCTCTAGTTTGTTAATAACGTTATATCAATTTCAGGTATACAGCATTATAATTCCACATCTGTGTACTATATTGTGTGCTCACTACCAAAAATCTAGTTTGTTTCTAGTCATCCAGCTCTGTTTTAGTCCTGTATGAACTTGGGAAAGTCACTCCTCCTATCTGAGCCTCAGTTTCCAAATACAATGAGTGTGTGTGCGTGAAGGATTTTGAAGGCTCCTCCCAGTTGTCACACTTGGTGGCTTTGTCCCTTCATCCTTTTCATGTGTGCTCTGAGTATTACTTTCTCACTTGCAGAGGTCTCCACATTTCTGAAGCTAATCCTGAGATCCTATCTTATCCCATCTTAGGAAGAAGGATGTTTGGGTCAACATTTCGTTGCAGAAGAGAAGCATGATACTTTGAGAGAGATGTAGTAGGGCTGCCCCCCCCCCCCCGCCCCCCCATCTCCGACTTGGGTTCCATCTCTGAGTCTTTTTCTCCATTTGAATGATTACAAAGCACCTTCTAGCTCTGAATTCAGGTCATGAATTCTCATCCTCTCCAGTGTCTCTGAAACATTAATCCCTTCACCTCCCCTTCTCCCCAAACCTGCACCCATCACACCTCATCCAAAGGCCGAGGATTGCTCATGTCTCCTCTGATTCTGAGTCCGGTTCTCAGCAACCTTGACTGATCCTGGGGGTTCAAGAGAAGAGAGTTTGAAGGTCTTCAAAGGAAGGCAGATGGAATCAGGGCACAGGCTAGTTTGGACATCTGGATTTTTGAGACTGAATAGGACCCCAGTGGTGAGGACTTGTTTCATGGTCAAATCTGATCAGGAGACGACAGTCCATGAAGTATGTCCTCTCTACTGGGACACTCCAGTGGTGTTTTCCACCCCTGGATGTTTCAGAACTCTTGCTAGGCCCACCCATAATGCCACTTATCTGGAAATTTTCCTATCTCTCCCCCAGGACACTCACAAGCCTGTGACAGACTGCACTCATTACTGGACTGATGAGCAGGACAAGTGGCCTATGTATTCCCTTTTGCCAACCAGGAGCCGACTGGTTGAAGAGGCATCAACAAGGAGATGGGTTGGGTTTAAAATGAGAAAATCATCAATGTGGGGAATACTACTTTGAAACACTCCCTCCCTCTGCCTTGAGCCTGAACCTTAAGATCTTCATTCTCATCTGATCCCAGTTCTGTTTTCTGGCCGAATAGAATGACTTTTGCCATATTCTTGGTGTTCCCCCATCTCCTCGCCTTTTCTTACACTTCTTCCTCAGCCTGGAATGCGTCATTACTAGTCAAGGCCCTTCTCTGCCAATTTGGCTAGGCATCATATCTGTCGTGTCTTTCCCCACCACCTACTCATCTATCTGCTTATCCACCCATTTATCTATTATTTGATCAGTTGATTGACTCGTCCATCCACTCACTTATCCACCCACTCACCCATATATCCATCTATCCAGCAAATGTTTCCTGGGTATCCATTATGAACTACACAGAACACATTATATAAGACAGACATGCCCCCTGCCCACATGTAGCTCTAGTCTATGACATAAATGAACATTAAATCTTTCTCACTCTTTCTCTTTTACACACACACACACACACACACACACACACACACACACACACACACAATGGAACCAGTGCTGTAAGGAAAGATAAGCCAAATACTACAAGGGAGAGAAAGTAGAAGAACAGAAGGAGCATGGATTCTGGAGCCAGATAAACCAAAGTCAAGCTCTGCCCTGGCGCCTGCCCAGCTGTGTGACCTTGAGCATCTCACTCTCCTCTCTGAGACTCAGTTTTCCCATCGGAAAGAACCTTGAAAGAGCACTAGATGCTTTACAGTCAGAGCAAGCAAGGTAGGTTTAATGGTCCCTGTTAAGCCACTGAAAGTTGCTCTGCCTTTTCCGGACTCCACAGCTCTGCCTGTTTAGACTTGCATTACAGCAGTGCTTTTGATTTTGATTTTCGTGGCTGAGCTGACAGCTCAGCTTTTAGCACTTGAAAGCCTGACTTCTTTATCTCCATCTCCATCAGAGTCACTGGTGCAGGAACAGGCACAGAGGAGGTGCTGGGGAGAATTTGTTGAGCAAACAAATAATAAACAAATAAACAAATGAAAGAAAGGATGGATGGATGAATAGGTGAAGAACTGGCCAGAATATGCATTCATTCAGTGAGAGGGGAAGAGAGAGAGAGAGAGAGAGAGAGAGAGAGAGAGAGAGAGAGAGCGCAATATCTGCCAAATTACTTACTGACTTTATAAGTAGCTGCTCCTTTAAGCCAGGTTGTCTCACCACTCTCTTAGTTGCCAACAAGACTGGGCACCAAAGAGGGGTCTGCTGACCTCAGAGAGGGAGCTGATAGTGCAGAATCTTCCCAGGTTTCTCTGGAAGGGCCTGTCTGTAAATTGAGCAGCACAGCTGTCTGGGTCTTTATTGCTCCTAAGTTTTCTGTCACTCAAGAAACATCATGACACAAGGGACACACCCTTGATGAAGAAATGGTCACAAATTCCCACAGATTGAGTGATAGCAAAGCTCAGCCAACACCCCCTGGCTAAGGAGGCTGAAGTAGAGCATCCACACCAGCTAGGGCTTTTACATCAGTCCCGTCCCTCTCAAGAACGGCTCCCTCCCCCACCCCCACCCTGGTCCAGCTCATCTGGCTATTATCAACCCATCATTTCCATCATCATGCCCACTTTCATCTCTTCCACATTCAACAGTGCAGATAATACCAACTTCACTTGTTTATTCTCTCATCCAGTATTCAACAACCCGAAGAGACCAGCATTGTTTGCTCCCATTTTTCAGAAAAGATAACTGAGACTCATAGAGGTAAGATGGCTGCCTAAGGTCACTAGACCAGTAACTAGCACAGTTGGCATTCAAACCCAGGAAGGTCCAATGGCCTCAACTGATACTTCACAGCTGATTCAGCTTCTCTCTTCTCTTTCTCATGACCTTCCTCCTCTATTCTTTTTCAGCCTTTATTTTATTTCACTTCATTTTACTTTAATAGCTTTAAAAAATTCACGTATCTTACAACTCACTCATTTGAAGTGTACAATTCAATGTGTGTGCGCGTGTGTGTGTGTGTTTACTATAATCACAGTTGTGCAACTACCACCACGGTCAATTTTAGAACCTTTTCATTACTACAAAAAGAAACCCTGTGCCCTTTAAAAATGTCCCCCAATCGCCATCCAAATCTCTCAGCCCCTGGCAACCGCTAATCTATATTCTGTCTCTATAGATTTCCCTGTTATCGACATTTCACATGAATAGAATCATATAATCATGGTCTTAAGTGTTTGGCTTCTTTCAGCATAATATTTTTAAGGTTCATCCATGTTGTAGCCTGTATCAGTATGCCATCCTTTTATGGGTAAATAATATTCTGTATAGATATACCTCATTTTGCTTATTTAACTATCCTTATATAGATAGATATTTGGATTGTTTCCAACTTTTGACTATCATGAATGATGTTGTTATAAACATTAGCATATAAGTCTTTGTGTGGATGTGTCTTTTCATTTTTCTTGGGCTTCTATGTAGAAGTGAAATATTCAGCAAAACTGGAACATTCCCATAAAATGCTGCAGCTACTGTGAAAAACAGTTAAGATGATTCCTCAAAAAATTAAACACAGAATTACTATTTGATAAAACAATTCCATTTCTGGGCTTATATTATACCCCCCAACATTGAAAGCAAATATTGAAAATATTTTTGTGCACTCATATTCATGGCAGCTCATTATTCACAATGGTCAAAAGGTAGAAACAACCCAAGTGTCCACTGACAGATGAGTGGACAGAAAAACATAGTCCATCCATGAATATTACTCAGCTTTAGAAAGAAAGGATATTCTGACACTTAATACAAAACAGATGAACCTTGAGGACATTATGCTAAGTGAAAGAAGCCAGACACATAAGGACATATATTGCCTGATTCCACTTATATGAGGTCTCTAGACAAGTCAAATTCATAGAGAGAGAAGGTAGAATGGTGAGTGCTAGGGATTGGGGGAGGGAGATGGGGAGTTACTGTTCCATGGGGACAGAGTTTCAGTTTTGCAAGATAAAAAAGTTCTGTAAGTGGACAGTGGTGATGGTTATACAATAATGTGAACGTACTTCATGCTACTGAACTGTAAACTTAAAAATGGTAACTTTTATATTATGTCTATTTTACCACAATAACAAACAAACAGAAAAATCTGGGACATTGTCATCCTCCCAAGTCTTCCTTTTGTTTCAAGATAACTCAGACACCAGACGGGGCAGTTTCTCCCCAACTCTGCATCTCTGCATCGACTTACACATGTATAGCTGTTGGTTACTTGGCACCTGGTATGGCTCATAAATGCCTGGTGTTGTCAGAATTGACACTTGTGTTCCCTAACCCTATGGGTATAAACTGGGAATAATACTACCTCCGCCATTACAACTATAGTATGGAAACATCTAACATAAGTTTTGGGTGTGGAAGGGGGCTCAAGAATAGATGCTCAAGAAATCTTAGTGGGGCATGAACCAGAATGGTAAGGAGAAAAGAATGATTCAGCATGGATGGAAACAACTGTAAGTTAATTAATCAACTAATTAAATTGATAAATTATATCAATTATTACTAATTTAATAGATGCTTACTTTTATTACTTGATGAAATTTGAGTGTTTTATTTTCTTATAAGAGTGAACTATCTTCATGGAGCTCTCATGGGGGATCCAGATAGCCCTTAGAGGTTAAGGTGACCAGTGCTGAGGTAAAGGTACAGGGGGCTCTGGGAGCCTAGGGGATACCCTTGAACTGGCTCAGCACAGAAAGCAGAATGGACTATGTTCCCATTGTGGCTTGGCTGCAGGCTGATCATGAACTGTTCTAAGCCAAAATTGCCTTACCTGTTAAAACCTATTTTGAGAACTGTTCTGAGGATAAAACAAAATGATTACTGTGAGGTGATCTCGTATCATCTGACCATTGGATAGGCTCTGGGTGAGACCATGTTTTTGGAGCTGTGGACACATGGTCTTCATGAAAACAGGTATCAGGGCAGTGTTTCTCTTCCATGGTTGCATGATGCAATTGCTTGGCGGGGGTGGTTCTTAAAAATACAGATGCCTGGTTCCTCCTCCAGAAGATTCTGATTTAAGTTATCAAGGTGGGGTCCTGACAGTGGTATTTTAAAAAAGGAACCCAGGTGAATTGAATGTGTTGCAAGGTAGAATACCATTGGTTTTGTGAGAAGGGACAGAGAGAAACTGAATAAATAAGATAATTCATATGGTGACACATGTTTACAATGGAAATAGACAAGATGAGGTGATGGAGAATGACTAGGATGGTTGGGGTGGGCCTTGGGGGAGATTGCACTCAAACTAAGTCTTGGGAAGTGTAGGTGTTTACTTTACAGGGCTGCTTCTTCTTTCCCTTATACTACTGGCTCTCCAACTTGGCTGCACATTGGAATCACTGAGAGAGTTTTAAAATATTAATGCCTGGCTCCTAGAAATCTGATTTAGTTGGGGCTGAGGCCATGCATAACATATATTTACCCTTGAAGCCATTACTCTGGATTCATTCTGTCTATAGATTGGCCTATTCTTATTTACAATAACCAAATGTGGAAGCACCCAGATGTGCACCAATGGGTAAGTGCATAAACAAAATGTGGTCTATCCATATAATGGGATATTATCCTATATAATAAAAAGCTAATATGCAATAGACCGAATGGCAGAACATCCAAACAACAGGCCGCTATGACATCAGCTGACCACCAGGGGCGTGTGTGGAACATGGCGGGTGTTGGCCGTGGGGGGGATGGTGGAGCAGGTGAGCAAGGGTGCCAGACCAAGGCTCTGCACCTTCAGCGGGTGCGAGTGGGGCCAGCGCCATCAGCACATGGGGGCAGCGGTGGGAGCAGGGTTGCTGGCAGACAGGGGGCTGGGGGCCGAGGTGGGAGGGGCTGGGCAGGGGTGCGGAGGATGGGCCGAGACCCGCCCCTGTGCCTACCGCAGCCTCACAGCCCACAGTTCTTTACAAGGTGCACGAATTTGTGCACTGGGTCCCTAGTTCAAAATATAAAAAAGTATGAAGCTCTGATATATGCTACACTATTTTTTAAAAAAATCCTCACCCAAGGATATTTTCCCACTAATTTTAGAGAGTGGAAGAGAAAGGGAAAGACAAAGAGAAACATCGATGTGAGAGAAACACATCGATTGGTTGCCTCCTGCATGGGCCCTGACCAGGGTCTGGGCCGAGGAGAAGCCTGCAACCGAGGTATGTGCTCTTGACAGTAATCAAACCTGGGACTCTTTGTTCTGCAGGCTGAGGCCCTATCTACTGAGCCAAACTGGGTAGGCCCTATGCTACATTATTGATGGATCTTGAAAGCATTATGCTCAGCTAAAGAAGCCAGACACAAAAGGCCACATAGTATGTGTTGTCATAGGATTTTTAGAAGCTTCAGATGACTGTGATGTTCACCAAAGCGTTCGAAGCACTGCCTTATACTATATTGGGTTTCAATCAGTAAGAGATTGATGCCCAGGTATGGGTGACACTGTTCAACATTACATTCAGCAATGACATCCCAAACCTGAGACAAACTTATTTCTCAGGCAGATGTGGGTGAGGGTGCCCTGTCCCCAAGCTGCTCAGCTTCTCTGACTGTTCTGCAGAAAAGTGAGGGGGGATGTTTCATTGAACATGAACTTGCTTCCTGGGCACCACTTTTCTGTGCGTTTACAGGTATGGTTGGCATGTCCTGCTCTCACACACTGCCAGAGAATGGCATGTACCCAAGAGTTCATGCTCACCCCCTGGACACATGCATGAACTCATCTTTGCAGCAATCGATCCCTTTCCTTGCTCAATGCCTCTATTTTCATTTGTCACCAGCCCAGGGTTTCCTTTGAACCTCATGTCCTCACCTCTGAGGCACCCTTTGCCTGTGGAGCTGCAGCAGTGAGAACTCATTGTGATGAAAGGAGGTGGTGTTGCTTAAAGATGTAGAAACTTCTTGTCATTCCAGGCTCCCTCGAAGGGTAAATAACTCAGGGCACCTGACAAGACAAGACTTAGTTGGTATCTTGTTCGACAGGGTTTTATCAGCCACAGGCAGGGAAGACGCCCGTGTTTGCCAAGAGTTCCTTCCCTTTTGGAACATATTAACATTTTGCAAACCACTGAGCTTGCAATAGAACGGGGAGCATAGGCAAGCAGCGTTCGTTTCTCAGGCACCCACTCTGAGCATTTGAAGGATGGGAACTTTTGTCCTGATGACTGTGAGATTGCGCAGAGAAAACAGGGTTAGAAAAGTTAAGTAAGTTGGCTCAAAAGTGGCAGCTCTCTCAGACTCCCGAGTCCTCTTATTTTCCTTCCTCTGACCAAAGACTCAGATCAAAGAAAGAAAAAAAAAGGGCTTAGCTATTCTCTCAACTCCAGCCTGAGAATGTCACATGAGCTTAGCGGCTCAGTGGTCGGCAAACTCATTAGTCAACAGAAGCACATATCAACAGTACAACGATTAAAATTTCTTTTGAGAGCCAAATTTTTTAAACTTAAACTATATAGGTAAGTACATTGTTATTAACTTAATTAGGGTACGCCTAAGGCTTAGGAAGAGCCACACTCAAGGGGCCAAAGTGCCGCATGTAGCTCGCGAGCCGCAGTTTGCCGACCATGGGTTAGCAGAATAAGTGAGCCGCCCAAGTTGCTCAGGGTGACCTGAAGCAGGTTTGGCAACTGAAGAGTTCTCTCTCTGACCTTCTCTACAAGGCCTGGGCATAAATCTTTTATTGTAGAGTGTAAGGCAGTGGTCCGAAAGCTTTGCTTATATGACATCGCAGTCATCTGAGGCTTTAAAAAATCCTGTGACAACACATACTATGTGGCTTTTTGTGTCTGGCTCCTTTAGCTGAGCATGCTTTCCAGAACCATCCATAGTGCAGCATATGTCAGGGCTTCAGTCTTAAATAATATCCCATTGTAGCCCTAACCAGTTTGGCTCAGTGGATAGAGCGTCGGCCTGGGGACTGAAGGGTTCCAGGTTCGATTCCGGTCAAGGGCATGTACCTTGGTTGCAGGCACATCCCCAGTTGGGGGTGTGCAGAAGGCAGCTGGTTGATGTTTCTCTCTCATCGATGTTTCTAACTCTCTATCCCTCTTCCTTCCTCTCTGTAAAAAATCAATAAAATATATTTTTAAAAAATATCCCATTGTACAGCTAGACACGTTTTGTTTATGCACTCATCCATTGATAGGCATTTGTGCTGCTTCCACCTTTTGGTTATTGTGAATAAGAATAGACCGATCTATAGAGACAGAATGAATCCAGAGTCATGGTTGCAAGGACTGGTAGGAAAGAATGGACTGTTTAATGGGTATGGGGTTTCCATTTGGGCCAGAGAGAGTAGCCCAGCCTCTTTCTTTCTTTCTTTCTTTCTTTCTTCTTTCTTTCTTTCTTTCTTTCTTTCTTCTTCTTTTCTTTCTTTCTTCCTTCCTTCCTTCCTTCCTTCCTTCCTTCCTTCCTTCTTTCCTTTCTTTCTTTCTTTCTTTCTTTCTTCTTCTTCTCTCTCCTCTCTCTCTCTCTCTCTCTCTCTCTCTCTCTCTCTCTCTCCTTCCTTCCCTTCCTTCCTTCCTCCCTCCCTCCCTCCTCCCTCCCTCTCTCTCTCTCTTTCTTTCTTTCTTTCTTTCTTTCTTTCTTTCTTTCTTTCTTTCTTTCTTTTCTTTCTTCCTCCCTCCCTCCCTCCCTCCCTCCCTCCCTCCCTCTTTTCTTTCTTTCTTTCTTTCTTTCTTTCTTTCTTTCTTTCTTTCTTTCTTTCTTTCTTTCTTTCTTTCTTTCTTTCTTTCTTTCTTTCTTTCTTCCTTTCTTCTGGCATTTTCTGGTCTGGCCCACTCTGGGGCATCTATGTCTCAGTTGCTTCCATCTACCAATTTGCTGTAGATGTGAGTGTATTTGTATATGATTGTATGTATGTGTGTAAGTGGGTACAGGTGGAAGGGATGCAAATAAGTGGGCAACCTTCACTGTATGGCAAGCAGATAATTGAGCAGAAGGCATGACAGCATAATGGTCAAAGACATAGGCTTCAGAATCAGAATATTTGGTTTGGAGGCTTTACCTCAGTGACTTGAATTATAAAACCTTAGTGGCTCAGTGTTCTTGTTCTGTAAAGAAGAGATAGCAATTCTCACCTTATTTGATTGTTGTCAGGAGTCCAAAATACTTAGAAAAGTGTCTGTTATTTAGAAAGAACTCTAAATCACTTCCTAAATGCCTCTTGGATTAATTCTTTTCTCTTCAACATCACTTCCTAGTTGAGATGGCCAACATCCATGACCTGGATAGCAGCTGCAGACTCTAAATTAATCTTCACCAGCTGGTTGGTGACCAGGACAAGGCCCTACCACACTCAGGACACCTGCCTCTTCACTCCACACAGGAAGATTGGCTCTAGTCAGCCGGCTGATGTTTTGGAAGCTGTGTGGTGAGTGCACTGCATGTCTTCTTCATGATGAGGGTGAAGGAAAGAGAGGATGGAGGTGGCCATGAACTGATACTATCAATGGACTGAGCCAAGTCTCCTGGGAGGGACCTGGTTCAAAATGCTGAGGGATGCCATGATTTAATAGCAATTAATGATGGCTGTTGTGCTGTTAATGAGGCATGAGATGAAGATAAAAGACTAATGATCATGTATTAATGACATGAACTAGCAGAAATGGCAATTGTGCTTACTCTTCAAAAGAAGTCAAAAACAAGTTTTCATGTTCAGAAATGGGTGAGCAAAGAGATGGGAACAAATGAGTGAGATGGAATCCCAGCCAGTGCATGAAAAGGTGCCTGGGTGGAAAATTGCCACTGGAAATGGATTACAATAGAATTGCCTATGATTGTTCAAACCCTGAAACATCTCTGGCTCTAAATCTATCCTAGGAGGAAGTGAACTTGGAACTCTGCACCCTCCTTCCCCAAGGTTTCATCTCTTATGCCCACTCAAGATGTATTTTTGGAGAGGGGGGAACAAGGAAGACCCTCCAGAAGCAAAGCCAGAAGTCATGGAGGATAGTGTCAAGGACATTTCTCTAAAAGAGAAGCAATGAAGTGGAAAAGTAAAACTTTAAATCCACCCTTAGCTTATCCAATTTCTCATCATGCCTAAACATGAATATCACACATGACACTTAGAAAACCTCTTGCGTCCTGAGAAAACTACACAAAAAAAGTGTATCTGGTCTTTTCTTAAACTGCTCAATAGTTTTGCTTAACACTAAACTCTAAATAGATTAAATATTGGGCCCCGTGATAAGCAGCTTCTAACACTGCTCTCTCTGGTCCCATCTCCTGGGTTTCTCACTCCCTTTGTGTGACCTGCTCACCTTGAATGTGGACTGGACCTAGTGATTTACTTCTTCTTTTTTTGTTTGATACATATATTTACTAGATTTTGTTTTTAACTTTATTTTTGTTATTGATGTCTATAAATGTCCCCATTTCTCCCCCTCCCCACCCTTTGCCCACCTCCACCTAGCCCTCACCCCCTTCCCTCTGGTCATCACCACACTCTTGTCTGTGTCTATAAGTTATGAATATAGGTTCTTTGGCTGATCCCTTCACCTTCTTTCATCCACTTACTAGATTTTAAATGGTGAGATTAAATCATGGGTTTATCCTCTGCTTCTGAAAATAGAACTGCTAACGGAGTAAGTCCCTGGAGGCTGAAAGGCTAATACCTTGACAGGAATTAATTAGTCTTTCATTCTTTATTTTTTTGTTTTGTTAATCCTCACCAGAGGATAATGTTTACCATTGATTTTTTTTTTTTTAGAGAAAATGGAAGGGAGGGGAAGAGACAGAAAGAAAGAGAAACATTGATGCGAGAGGGACACACTGACTGGTTGTCTCCCACATGCATCCTGATCGGGGTGGGGGATCGAGCCTGCAACCAAGGTAAGTTCCCTTGACTGAAATCGAACCCATGACCTTTCAGTCCACAGGCTGAAGCTCTAACCAGTGAATAAAACTGGCTAGGGCTCATCACTCTTTCCTTCTGAGAGCAGCTGCTCCATACAGAATCTGGCTCTCACCATATAAGGACCACTCTTTCAATTAATGTGACCCCTTTGTTCAAGCTGAGCCTCTCCATCTTGTATTTATCCTCACTAAGCCTTCTGTTACTTGTTTTTCTCACTCCACTGATGTATTGATGTCTGTTTCATTGTTTCAGGTTATATTTCACTGAGTCTTTCATTAAAAGTGTCCCTTCTATTTATCTGGTGAATGAAGTGACTCACTTCTAATGAATAGAATATGACAACAGTGATAGGAGGTCTCTTCTGAGATTAGATTACAAAAAGCCTATGACTTTTGCTGTGATCTCTCCCTGGTTTATCTCACTTGCCTTTTTTTTTTTCCTGGTGCAAAAGGAAAGAGGTTTATTCAGGTGACAACCTGGGAGAATAGTAGACTCTCGTCTCAAAGATCATCTCCTAACTTGCCTTGGTTTTCACATGTTGAGGACATGAGCTGCATGTTGGGGAGGCCCATGTGAAAGGAATGGAGGGCAGTCTCTGGCCAATAGCCTGTGAGGAGCTGAATCCTGCCACAAACTTGTGAGTGAGGCTGGAAGAGCAGCCTCCTCCAGTCAAGCTTGCCAATGAGACCACAGCCCCACTTACTATCTTGACTTCAGCTTTGTAAGAGGACTGAGAGATAATAAATGTTGTTTCAAGCCACTGACTTTTTGGATAATTTTTTTCATAGCAATGGATAATGAATACAGGCCCATAAGTTGCTGACTTCTTAAAAGAAAACAATGTACCTGTTTTGCTGATATTTTGCAGTACTGGCACCTACACAGGACCACAGTGAGGAACTACTATTTTTCCTCCACCAATTAGAATGTTGAACATAATAACCAAACTTTTGTGGGTTTAGCTTTTAAATATATGTCAAATATTATTATTATTATTATTATTATTATTATTTAAATTCTTTATTGTTGAAAATATTATATATGTCTCCTTTCCCCCCCCACTGACCCCCCATTGACCTCTCCCTGCCCGCTCCTGCCCCCCAGCACGTGTCCCCACCTTGTTATTGTCTGTGTCCATTGGTCATGCTCATATGCATCAAATCTTATTTTTGAGAGCAGTTCTCTGAAGGTGAGACTCTTTTGCAAGTTAACAAAACAAAATACGTTTTAAGCTTTCAAATTTACTCCTGTTTTTTTTTTTTTTAAACCATTACAAAAATCGAGCTACAATTGACATATAACATTGTGTCAGTTTCAGGGATACAGGAATACCTCATCTTATTTACTTATTTATTTAAATTTTTTGCTGAATTTATTGGAGCGACATTGGTTAATAAAATTATATAGGTTTTGAATAGAAAAATGACTAGAAGGAACCAAGATGGCAGCGTAAGTAAACACCAGTCCTCGCTGCCTCCCACAACCACATCAAAATTACAAGTAAAATACAGAACAACCATCATTCAGAAACACCTGAAATCTAGCAGAATGGAAGTTCTACAACTAGAAAAGTAAAGAAGAAAGCACAGAGAGACTGTAGGAGGGGCAGAGGTGAAGAATGTCTAGCCCGACATCGCGTTGGTGTTTTTTTAAACTGGGAGAGATATTGTGACTGCAGATGCTTTTGTGAGGAGCAAGGAGTCCCAGACTCACACCAGATCCCATAACACAGGGGTTTCAGTGCTGGGAAGAGAAGTCCTGGTAACTTTGGGCTGTAAAAACCAGCAGGGATTGTGGCTGAGTGACACAGAGGCTACTGGAGACCCAGGGAGTTCCTCTTAAAGGGCTGGCACATGAATTACTTGGACTCGATACTTCTGGGCTCCAATGCTGGGGCAGAGGCTTGAAAGGAACTTAGGACATTCAGAGAGGAACTGGATTGTCTGGCATGGGGACAGAAACTCAGGGCAGCTTTCTCCCAGATGGGGGTGCTTGCAGGGGTCATTATTCCTGTGCTGAAACCTCCTCTGCCACAGAGCTGACTGGCAGCCATATCTGAGTTTCTATCAGCCTGGCTTACACCGTTTGCCTGGTGATTCCCTGAGACCCCATCCCATCCAATTTGCAGCTGCATCAAAGCTGTTTGCAGTGGCTTTTCCATATGAAAGTCTTGTCCCGGTTCAGGCTTCAGATTTCCTAAAATCCCTTAAACAAGCAGCAGCTGACATCAGCATACCCCATATGTATCAATAAGAGGTCCAAGACCGGGCACTAGCACCAGTCTACCTTACTTCACAGTTGGGCCTCACCTGGGGGCTTCCAAGCCCAATACAAGCAGCAGACATCTGAAGATCATTCTGTAACTTCTGCTGGGTGGCCCCAGACAGTGGCTGACTTTTCACATCCTGGGAGGCCCCAGAGTCAGTGCTCCCAGTGGACAGCTTCAGACCACAGCAGATTACAGCTCTACATATCCACAAGCAACACACTCAAGGGGAAGACTCAGTGAGCACCGAAGCCCCACTGAAGCAAGTCCTGATCTAAAGGGGTGTCTCCTGCACAGTAGCTCTCCCACTGTAGTCGCAGCTGGTCCTCACAGCCAATTGGCCTGGAGGCCAATTCCTCCCAGTGACTCCAATAGTAATCAAGGCTCAACTACAACAAGACTGCACACAGCCCACACAGGGGTGCACCTAGAATGTCCAGCTCAGGTGACTGGGGTGTCTGAGCCACTGGCCCCTACAAGACACCTACTACACAAGGCCAATTCCAGGAGACATAGCAGCTCTACCTAATGTGTAGAAACAAACATAGGGAAGCAGCCAAAATGCAGAAACAAAGAAACATGTCTCAAATGAAAGAAATGGAAGCAGGCAAATTACTGGTTACAGGGTTCAAAACAATGGTTAATTAGGTTGCTCAAGGATCTTAATGAGAGCTTCAGGGACTTAATGAGAGCTTCAAGGGAATTCATAAGAGCTTCAAGGGACAAGTAAGACTTTCAAGGATCTTAGTGAGAATTTCAAAGACATGAAAAAGGGCCAATCAGAAATTAAGCACACACTAACTGAAATAAAGAAGAATTTACAGGGATTCCACAGTAGATTAGAAGATTCTGAGAATCAAATCAATGATTTCAAATATGAGGAAGAAAAAACCACCCAATCAGAAGAGCAAAAAGAAAAAAAAAAAGAATCCCAAATATGAAGATAGTGTAAGGAGCCTCTGGGACAACTTCAAGTGTACCAACATTCAGACTATGGGGGATGCCAGATGGAGAAAGAGAGAGAGCGAGCAAGATACTGAAAACCTACTTGAAGAAATAGTGAGAGAGTATTTCCTATACCTGGTGAAAGAAATAGATTTACAAGTCCAAGAAGCACAGAGAGTAGTGTTGGTGTATGACCTCTTTGGAGAAGTATCTATTCAGATCCTCTGTTCATTTTTAAATTGGATCTTTTTAAAAAATATTTATTTATTTATTTATTTATTTATTTATTTATTTATTTATTTATTTATTTTTCTAGGGTTGAGTTTTATTTATTTATTTTTTTTATAGAAATTTTGGATATTAACCCCTTATCAGATGTATCATTGGTGAATATGTTCTCTCATTTGGTGGGTTGTCTTTTCATTGTGTTCATGGTTTTCTTTACTGTGAAAAACCTTTTTAAATTTTTAACATGGGACGTTTCACAAATTTGTGCGTCATCCTTGCACAGGGGCCATGCTAATCTCCGTATTGTTCCAGTTTTAGTATATGTGCTGCCGAAGTGAGCACTGAAAAACCTTTTTAGTTTGATGTAGTCCCATTTGTTTGCTTTTTTCCTTTGTTTCCCTTGCCTGAGGAGATATATCAGAAAAATATTGCTACAATTAATATCAAAGAGTTTACAGCCTATTTATAAGGAGTTTTATGGTTTTGTGTCTTACATTTAAATCTTAAATCCATTTCAAGTTTATTCTTGTATATGGTGCAAGAAAGTAGTCTACTTTCATTTTTTTTTTGCATGTATCTGTCCAGTTTTCCCTACACCATTATTGAATAGATTTTCTTTAACCCACTGTATCTTTTTTGCATCTTCTGTCACATATTAATTGACCATATAGGCATGGGTTTATTTCTGGGCTCTCTTTTTTTCCATTGATCTATATGTCTGTTTTTTATGCCAATACTATGCTGTTTTGATTACTATGACTGTGTAGCATAGTTTTATATTATGTAGAATGATACCTCCAACTTTGTTCTTCTTTCTCAATATTGCTTTGGCTATTCAGGATCTTTTGTGGCTCCACATACATTTTTGGAATATTTGTTCCAGTTCTATGAAAAACGCCAATGGTACATTGATAGGGATTGCGTTGAATTGATACACTTCTTCGGGTAGTATGGACATTTTAATGATGTTAATTCTTTCTATTTATGAGCATTCTACGTGCTTTCATTTATTTGTATTTTCTTTTCTTAAAATCTTTATTGTTGAGAGTATTAAAATGCCCCTCTTTTTACTCCCATTGCCCCCCTCCATCCAGTTCCCATTCTACCCCAGGCCTTCACCACCCACCCTATTGTCTGTTTCCATAGGTAAATATGCATGTAATTTCTTTGGTTAATCTCTTCTTGCCTCCCCTCCCCCCTTCCCTCTGAGACTATCAGCCTGTTCCATGTTTCTATGCCTCTGGTTCTCTTTTATTCAGCATTTTATGTTGCTCATTAGATTCCTTGTTCATTTGTTTTGATTTTTAGATTCAATTGTTGATAGATATGTACTTATTGCCATTTTATTGTTCATATACTTGACCTTTTTTCTTCTTCTTCTTCTTACTAACTGCTTTTCTATTACTCTTTTTAAAATTCTCTCTTAGTCTTTAACCTTTGACATTTTAATTATGTGTCTTGGAGTGGTCCTCTTTGGGTTCCTCTTTTTTGGGACTCTGAACTTCCTGAAGTTGTAAGTCTATTTCTTTCACCAGGTATGGGAAGTTTTCTGTCATTAATTCTTCAAATACATTTTCAATATCTTGCTCTCTCTGTTCTCCTTCTGGCACCCCCATAATGTGAATGTTGTTACACTTGAAGTTGTCCCAGAGGCTCCTTACACTATCTTCATATTTGGGATTCTTTTTTTTTTCTTTTTGCTCTTCTGATTGGGTGTTTTTGCTTTCTCATATTCCAAATCATTTATTTGATTATCAAAATCCTCTACTCTCTTATGGGAGCCCTATAAATTCTTCTTTATTTCAGTCAGTTCATCCTTCATTTCTGACTGGTCCTTTTTCACATCTTTGAAATTCTCACTAAGATCCTTGAAAGTCTCACCAAGTCCCTTGAAGCTCTCATTAAGATCCTTGAGCAACCTAATTAACCATTGTTTTGAACTCTATATTTAGTACAGTGTCTCCAACTGGTGGTCCAATGACCACTGGTGGTCAGTGAGGTTCGAAAGGTTGGTGACCGCTGATCTGGTAGTTTGCTTGTTTCCATTTCATTTAGTTCTTTTTCTGGAGATTTTTTCTGTTCTTTCATTTCATGTTTCTTTGTCTCTGCATTTTGGCTGCTTCCCTATGTTTGTTTCTACACATTAGGTAGAGCTGCTATGTCTCCTGGAATTGGCCTTGTGTAGTAGGTGTCTTGTAGGGGCCAGTGGCTCAGACACCCCAGTCACCTGAGCTGGTCACTCTAGGTGCACCCCTGTGTGGGCTGTGTGCACAGTCTTGTTGTAGTTGAGCCTTGATTACTATTGGAGTCACTAGGAGGAATTGGCCTCCAGGCTAATTGGCTGTGAGGACCAGCTGCGACTACAGTGGGAGAGCTACTGTGCAGGAGACACCCCTTTAGATCAGGACTTGCTTCAGTGGGGCTTCGGTGCTCACTGAGTCTTCCCCTTGAGTGTGTTGCTTGTGGATGTGTAGAGCTGTAATCTGCTGTGGTCTGAAGCTGTCCACTGGGAGCACAGACTCTGGGGCCTCCCAGGATGTGAAAAGTCAGCCACTGTTTGGGGCCACCCACAGGAACTACAGAGATATTTGCAGATGGTTGTTACTTGTGTTGGGCTTAGAAGTGCCCAGGCAAGGCCAAGATGTCTTGGGTAACTTACTGATAGATAAGTGCTGCTTATTTGAGAAATTTTAGGAGAGTATGAAGCCTGAACCGGGAGAAGCCATTCATACAGAAAAGCTGCTGCAAACAGCTTGGGTGCGGCTGCAAATGGAATGGGGCAGGGTCTCAGGGAATCACCAGGGTGGGGCAAACATTGTGAGCTAGACTGATGGAAACTCAGATATGGCTGTGTCAGCTCTGCAATAGGTGAGGTCTTGGTATGGGAACAATGACCCCTGCAAGCACCCCTGTCTGGGAGAAAGCCACCCTTTAGTTCTTGTTCCAATGGTAGACTATCCAGTTCCTCTCCGTATGCCCCTGGATCCCCTCAAGCTGTTGTCCCAGCTCTGGAGCTCAGAGGGAGTGAGTCCATGGAAGTTCGTGTGCTGGCTCTTTAAGAGGAACTGCCTGGGGCTCCAACTGCCTCTGTGTCACTCAGCCACTTTCCCAGCCTGAAGTTACGAGGACTTCTCTTTCCATCTCTGAAACCGTGGGCTGGAGGTCTGGTGTGGGGCTGGGACCCCTTACTCCTCAAGGGAGTCCTCTGCAGCAGAGACATACCTCCCAATTGAAAAAAGCCACGCATGGGTGTCAGACCAGCCTGTTCCAGGCATCCACTCTCCTACGTCTCGGGGTGCTTTCTTCTTTACTTCTCTAGGTGTAGGACTTCCATCAGCCAGATTTCAGGCAGTTCTGAATGATGGTTGTTCTGTATTTTAGTTGTAATTTTGATGTGGTTGTGGGAGGATGGAAGTACCTCTGTTTATCTAGGCCACTATCTTGGGTCTCTGTGTATTTGTATCTTCTTCAGTATCTTATAAATTTCTGAGTACAGGTCTTTTACCATCTTGGTTAAATTTATTCTTCATTTTAAAAAAATACAATTGCACACGGCATTATTTTCTTAGTTTTATTGGTACCATATTTCAGATGAGAGCATTTTTTTTTTTAGCAATAAAGTATTTTTAATTAAGGTATGTACATAAGACATAATGCGAGTGCACACTTAGTAGACTACAGTATTGTGTAAATATAACTTTCCCATGGACTTAGAAACCAAAAAATTTATGTGATTGTGATATTCACTTTATTGCCATGGTTTGGAACCAAACTGACAATATCTCCAAGGTGTGCTGGTAGAACCTAGTGATTTGATAATTTAATGTTGCAATAAAATTGCCATTGTTGCACTAGCTAACCCCTCTGTCATGTTACATGATGAATCATTTCTTTCAGTGGTGGGAACAATTAAGATCTAGTATCTTAGCAAGTTTAATGCTTATAATACAGTTTTGTTCTCTATAATTACTGTATGTGTGTTAGATTTTTAAGACTTATTTATCTACTAGTTGCAAGTAAGTACCTTCTAATAACATCCTGAGTTTTTCTTGAGCAAAAGAAGCTCACTCGCCTGGCCTATTTGGCTCAGTGATTGAGCATCAACCTATGAACCAGGAGGTAATGGTTCAATTCTTGGTGAGGGCATGTGGCCGGGTTGCTGGCTTGCTTCCCAGTAAGGGGTAAGCAGGAGACAGCCAATCAATGATTCTCTGTCATCATTGATGTTTCTATCTCTCTCTTCCTCTCCCGTCCTCTCTGAAATCAATAATATATATATATATATATATATATATATATATATATATTTTTTTTTTTTTTTTTTTTTTTAAAGAGAAGCACACTCTATTCCCAGAGAAGAAATTCCTTAATAGCCTGCCTGGAAAGATTTGTCATTTGCTAATGACCAGGGACTGCTCAGTGTTAACTCTTCTCGTTTTATCATAGGGATTTTATTTATTTTTATTTGCTTGGTCAATCCTCTCCAGAGGGTATTTTTTCCATTGATTTCTAGAGAGTGGAAGGGAGGAGGAGGAGGAGGAGGAGGAGAGAGAGAAAGAGAGAGAGAATCATCAATGTGAGAAAGACACATCGATTGGTTGCCTTTCACACAGGCCCCAACCAGGGCCAGGGGTTGAGCCTGCAACCGAGGTATGTGCCCTTGATTGGAATCAAATCTGGGACCCTTCAGTCCTTAGCCAGCAGTTCTCAACCTGTGGGTCGCGACCCCTTTGGCGGTCGAATGACCCTTTCACAGGGGTCGCCTAAGACCATCCTGCATATCAGATATTTACATTACGCTTCATAACAGTAGCAACATTACAGTTATGAAGTAGCAACGGAAATGATTTTATGGTTGGGTCACAACATGAGGAACTGTATTTAAAGGGCCAGAAGGTTGAGAACCACTGCCTTAGGCCAACACTCTATCCACTGAGTCAAACTAGCTAGGGCAATTTCATCATAGGGGTTTTAAATCATGACTCTCCTGTTTGATTCCCAACACTTTATTTGATGTGTATGGGGCAGATAACTTATTGCTTGATTTACTGACGAAAGACTGCCATTGGACTTGTTGGAGGGAACTTCTCATCACCCAGAGGTCCTAGAGTTTGAGGTAGAAGTATTTATGATGGGACTGTGAGAGTCACCCTAAATAGAAAAACTATTTGCTCTGAAGTAACCACTCCTATCATGTTGCTGTATTTAATTTTATGTCACCTGAATTTCACCTCAACAAAGAACATTGAGCATGTGTTTTACTGCTTATGGAGATGTCCTTCTATATCAGGCACTGAGGTAAATGACATACAGCATTGTCTCAATGAATCCTGACAGCAACC